AACTATCATGAAAATTACCAATCCGATGAGACAACAGATCTACGTTTGCGAAGGTTGTTGGTAAATTTACTGAGAATGAGTCCACAAAAGATGTTATTATTGTAGTCACAAAAGCGGTAGCCGATGCATTGGGCGCATTGGATAAAAGGTTTTTGTGCAATTTAACGTACAGTGGACAAGCGAATGAACAATAACAAACCCTATATAATAGGTGTTGCTGGAGGTAGTGGTTCAGGAAAAACATTTTTTTTAAAGTGTTTTCTCCATCATTTCAGTACAGAGGAAGTATGTTTAATCTCACAGGATGATTATTACAAACCAATTGGTGAACAAAAGGTAGATGATAACGGATGGGTCAACTTTGACCTGCCGGAGGGAATTGATGACTCCAAATTATTGGAGGACTTAAAATTGCTGATTGATGGGCAGTCAATTTCAAGAAAAGAATATACTTTCAACATTAATGAAGAGAGCGCACGTTTAATGAATATAACAAGTGCACCAATTATTATTGTAGAAGGCTTATTTGTATTTCATTACCCGGAATTGTCTCAGTTATTCGACCTGAAGATATTCATGGATGCAGATGAAGAAATCACACTTAACCGCAGAATCTCCAGAGATGAGATAGAACGTGGTTATACCCGTGATATGATTATGTACCAATGGGTTAACCACGTTATGCCTGCTTACAAACAATTTCTGCTTCCTTATAAGGAATCTTGTCAGAAAATTATTATTAACAATAAACATGTGGCGGAAGATATTATCGCCACTTCTAAAGAGATATCAGACGAATTAAAAGAAACTGTACTGAGTTCACAACGATCAGTTTAGATCCATTTCTTTCACATCTGCCTCAGCGAATAACTTTCCTGAGGTAGATTGTTTAATAAAGTCAACACTCACACCCGGCGCTCTTTCAATTAACCTGAAGCCACCTTCCGGTAAAATATCAAGTACGGCTAATTCTGTAACTACTTTCCTGATACAATTCACACCCGTTAATGGCAAAGTGCATTTTGGCAATAATTTACTTTCCCCTGCTTTATTGATATGCTGCATAGCTACAATGATATTTTTTGCAGAAGCCACTAAATCCATTGCCCCACCCATTCCTTTCACCATCTTTCCAGGAATTTTCCAGTTGGCAATATCTCCATTCTCAGAAACCTCCATTGCACCTATATTGTCAGGTCAATTTTCTGACTTCTGATCATACCGAAGCTCATTGCTGAATCGAAAATTGAAGAACCAGGTAAAGTAGTAATTGTTTGTTTTCCCGCGTTGATCATATCAGCATCCTCTTCACCTTCAAAAGGAAAAGGGCCCATACCCAGCAAACCATTTTCGGATTGCAGTACAACATTGATTCCATCAGGGATATAATTTGCGACCAGTGTAGGAATACCAATTCCTAAATTCACATAGTAACCATCTTTTAATTCTTTGGCGATACGTCTCGCAATTCCGTTCTTATCTAACATAAATATTTGATTGGTTAATTACGCGGTCTTACTGTGCGCTGCTCTATTCTTTTCTCGTAACCTGAACCCTGGAAAATACGGTGTACATAAACACCCGGTGTATGAATATGATCCGGATCAAGTTCACCTGGTTCTACCAATTCCTCTACCTCAGCAATTGTAATTTTACCTGCCATAGCCATGACCGGATTAAAATTGCGGCTTGTAGAACGGAAAACAAGATTTCCTGCAGTATCACCCTTCCATGCTTTTACGATCGCGAAATCTGCATCAAAAGCATATTCCATCAGGTAATCCTTTCCATTAAAATTTCTGGTTTCTTTACCTTCTGCAACTTCTGTACCTACACCAGCAGGCGTATAAATTACAGGCATGCCATAACCAGCCGCCATACAGCGGGTCGCTAATGTTCCCTGAGGGATCAGTTCAACTTCTAATTCCCCACTCAACAACTGGCGCTCAAATTCTGCGTTCTCTCCTACATAAGAAGAAACCATTTTCTTTACCTGCCGGGTTTTCAGTAACAGGCCAATTCCGAAATCATCTACACCTGCATTGTTAGAAATACAAGTAAGCTCTTTCACGCCTTTCTTTACCAATGCGGCGATACACTGCTCAGGAATACCACACAGTCCGAAACCTCCAAGCATAATCGTTTGTCCGTCTATAATATCGCGGATCGCTTCATCGGCATCCGCTACTCTCTTATTGATCATATATTTGGTTTGGTTGCTAAATTATAGATAAAAACCACCCCGGCAAAATATTAATATTTTTTATTACATGGATCTGTTTCCAAACAATTTCGTACAATTGTTTAGAAACAAAATATGCTGAATGAAATCTCTTAATTTACTGCTGTTTATATCAATTTGTTTGTTTGGACTCCACACCTTTGCCCAAAAGAAAGGCCCACACTATCTCAAAGATCAAAAAACCGGCTGCCAGATTATAGATGAAAATAATTCTCCGGAAGTTAGCATCTCATGGACTGGCAGTTGTAAAAATAAGTTTGCTGAAGGATATGGAATATTAACCTGGTACAATCAGGGACAAGAAAGTGCAAAATATACCGGCCTTGTACACCAGGGCAATTTGAATGGCAAAGGAAAATTTACTTTTCCAAATACGCGTTACGCATTGGAAGGTAATTTCTCAAACGGAACTTTAGAAGGTAAAGGGAAAACAACCTTTGCTACGGGACTGGAAATGGAGGGTACCTTTAGGGAAGGGAAGTTTCTAAATTTAGAAGAACGCGAACTAAATAACTTAAAAAACAACAAGACTTCACTCCTGGACAGTACAGCAATCTATGTAGCCGAAGACACCTTAAAACCTCTTTTTTATTATAGCCTATTACCAGAAGGAAATATTAAAAGTACACTGGTTTTATTGCCAAGTAGCGGCGAAACCGTTGAAAACGTAATTAACTGCAATAAACAGCTCATCCAGCTGGCTGCACAGCATCATATTCTCATTATTGTACCATCTATCAATAATGACCGGGGAATGGATGACGATCAACCCGCGCTCAATTTCCTGAATACCGTTTTTAAAGAAGTCATTACAAAATTTAAGGCTCCAGAGGACAAATTCGTTTTTAGCGGATTCTCAAACGGAGGAATGATAGCCTTGAGATATGCCGAATTAGCGCATGAAAATAACTCTAAAACTACGATAATACCCCGTGCTGTTTTAGGTGTAGATCCACCAGTAGATGTGGCCGAGCTTTACAATGCAGCAAAAAGAGACCTGGCTATCAACGAAGGCAGGCCTGGCTTAACACCTGCTAAACTGAATGGCTTAAGAGAAGCAAAATCTATCGTTGATTTTTATAATAAAACCTATGGAGGGTCGCCGGAACAGTTTCCTGAGCAATATATTAAACGTTCTATGTTTTCAAGGTCACAAAAGGATGGCGGTAACGCCAGGTACCTGCTCAAAATGCCAATAAGAATCTATTCAGATCCTGATATACTATGGGCAATAAACGAAAGAAACCGTGATTATTTTGACATGAATGCGGCCAGCTTATCTGCAATGATCAACCTTTTAAAATTGCAAGGCAACAAAGAGGCAGAATTTATACCTGCAATCGGAAAAGGGTACAGATTAGATGGAACGAGACATCCTCACTCCTGGTCTATTGTAGAACCACAGGAATGCATCCAATGGATTACTAAAGTAACCGAATAATTAACGCGCAGAGATTTCTATAAGCTGATCATTTGTTCCATTACTGGTTCCGATATAAACTTTGCCATCCGGCGACTGACAGATTGCTCTTAATCTGCCGAACTGATTTTGCAGAAAATCCTTTGCCGAAATAATTTTTGTCCCGCTTTCATCCAGTTTTAGCTGTAATAATCTTGATCCCTTAAGTGCAACGACCAATAATGAATTTTTCCATTGCGGAATATAGTCCGAATTATAGTAGGTTAAACCCGATGGTGCAATGGTAGGCGTCCAGGTCAGCATCGGCTCTACCACGTTATTAAGCGCACAAAATGTTTTTTCTTCTGCTTTATCACATAATCCTTCCACGTTTGGCCAGCCATAATTTCTGCCTTTCTGAATCAAGTTAATTTCATCATCATTATCAGGCCCATGCTCAGAAGAATATAGCCTGTTGTTTGCCATTACCAATCCTTGCGGATTCCTGTGCCCGTAAGACCATACCGGATTATTTGGTAAAGGATTATCTGAAGGAATAGAACCATCCAGATTTAACCTTAAAATTTTTCCGGACAGGCTATTGGTATTTTGTGCCTGAGCAGCAGCACTGGCATCACCTGTAGTCACCAATAATTTAAGATCCGGAGTAATGAGTAATCTGGAACCATTATGAACGGACGAGGCCGGAATTTGATCCAGTAAGACCAGCGGAGCACTTAATACACCGTTATTAAAAGTAAAGCGAACTACCTTTCCCTTATAGTTATTTCCCGAACCATAGTCATAAACCACATAGACGTAAGGATTGGTACTGAACTGTGGATGTAAAGCCATTCCAAGCAGCCCGCCTTCACCAGCACTGGTTACCTCAGTAATGGTGTGTACTAAAGTAATCACACCATTCAGTGGGTTTAACCGGCTGATTTTTCCAGCCCTTTCGGTGAACCAGATAAAATTATCTGGTCCATATATCATTTCCCACGGGAACTTTAAAGATTGAGTGAGTACTTCTGTTTTTATATCGGCATCCGGTAAAGTTTCCGGACTATCATTGTTTTTGCTTTTTTCACAAGCTGATAGCAAAAACAAGATAAAGATTGAAGTAAAAATTGTTTTCATAACAGAATGTTTCTTGGTTAAACAAGGTAAACAATCCAAAATGAATTATGTTTAATTAATTGAAATACACATAAGTTATACCAGTCTCCACCCCTATCAGCATGCTCATCCTCAACCCGGTTAACCTGGCTATACTTACGCAGGTATTCCCTAATTAATTTCCGAAGGATACCATCTCCTTTTCCATGGATCAGCTTAATAAAAGGAAAGCCCAGCATAATTGACTTATCCAGATACTTTTCAACTTCCTGGATTGCATTTTCACCACGCATACCACGGAGATCAAGTTCAGCTGTAAAATTTCCGATGGCCTCAGACATTCTCCCAGAGAAAGAATTGCTCTGTACAACCTTTTTTGCTTGCTTATTACTGATTTTTTGTACCCTGTCTTTCTTCACAACAGAACGAAGATCGCCTAGTGCAAGCACCAAATTACCCCGGTTGATTTCCATCACCTGTCCCATTGTTTCCGTATTATTCAGCTGTACCCAATCACCAACTTCAATAGCGGTCGTTGAAATTACTACCTTCTCAGGCTTTTTTTCTTCTTTAACCTGATGCTGAACCAAACTCTTCTGCAAGTCTTGTCTTAGCTGTTTGGTTGCTACTTTATCAGCCTGATTTTCCTTAATACCAGCAATTGTATTTTCTACCAGCTTATTTGCATTTTTTATAATAGTCTGCGCTTCAAGCTTAGCCTCTTTAATCAGAGTTTTTCTGTTTTCTTCTAAAAATTGTTGTAACTCCTCATTTTCTTTGACCAGGTTCTTTACTTTATTCTGTTGCAGAGACAACTGGATTTTAGTATCATAAATCTGTTTT